ATCTTAAACAGCATTACCTTGTGTTTGCATACCTTTCAATTTTGCTAAATTGTTCTGCATCACACAAATTACTGTCCCCATTTTGCAGATAGGCAACGTTTAAGCAAATTAAATGAGAACCAGTACTCATAACATTATAAAAAGTTAACTTCTCACAAGTCCTCCCTGCAGGACTGTAAGCTCAGGTGTCACATGTGTTATTCAATAAATATTGATTGAAAAAAAAACTGACCTATCAAAAATCTCATGAGCAGTAGGAGATAAAATTACAAAACTAGTCACGGGAAGGTGCCTTAAGGATTGTCCAACAATTTCTATTAGTGAGTATAAAACTCCACCTTCTTATGTTGGAAGTTTTGTTTTTAGAAAGTATATAATGAAATTCAACAGAATTCCTATTGATTCTTTTTCTTCAGAACACCTAACTACCTAAATGTAGAAAGTACAGAATTATATAGATATAGAACCATGTCACACTAATTGATTAAAAAACAAATCAGCTCATGGGCCAGGGATTTAGCTCAGTAGTTCTGCTGCCTGCCTTGCAAGTGCAAAGTCCCGAGTTCAATCCCTGATACCAAAAAAAAAAAAAAAAAAAAAAAAAAAAAAAAACCAAAAAAAAAAAAAAAAAGAAAAAGAAAAAGAAAAAACCACAAAAATATAGACTTACAAAAACAAATCAGCTCAGTAGGCTGAACTGCATTATCTTACTGAGGAAATCTCTATGTCAGAATTCTTAAAGAATTAAACATCAATAAAGGACTCTATGTTTGAGTTTTTACTACTATTTATAGACAGTGGCCAATGGCTTGGCCAAATGGTCAGAGAGAAAGGCAATGGAAACCTAGACTATTAAAGGTGTATCAAACAGGTTACAGCCCTGTGGAAACTTGAGGGGTGTATTAAAGTAGGACATGTTGATGTACATCACAAGAATTCCTTTGAAGTTCCTTTCAGGTTTGGAAGGTGACCGGAACTGACAAGCAAATATTCCTGTATGCCAGCTTAGGATGGCCACCAGGGTCCACAAAGTGAATGAACATGGGGACACTGCAGCAATGCAGAGATGGCTGGATCTGGATATCTTCCTCTTGCACCTTCTGAGGCACATAACGCCAAAAAGAACTATTCCATCAGCAGATCAAGACTGCTAATGGCTGCGTGGCAGACTCCCTCATGGGAAGGCCCCAACACGGCTGGCAGGTGAGACTGATGTTGATAGACCTGAGGGGCTACAAATGGGTCTGAAGAGAATAAACACCGATTCTAGACTGTGCTCTGATTACCCAGTAGGACATACAAGTGCTCAGTGCTGGAGAAAAACCAGAACAAGAGATAGTGCATGAATTTGGATGGCTGAAGATCATTTGTTCAGACCAAGACAAATACACTGTACAGACCACAGTCTCACAAAGACAGAGATATATCCTTCTCAGAGCAAAAGACAGAAAGGTAGGATAGGCAACTGAAAGACTGGTTGCCTAAAATGAGGGGAGATGTGAGCCTGCAGGGCTTGCTTATGTCCTTCATGAGTGTGTGCTCACTTAGCATCACTAGGACTAAAGAAGCGTCCTCATTGCTAGATATCCCTCCGTGTGTCTAATAGATCTGGCGAAGAGGGAAGGTGAAAGATTCTGGTACGACCACGCGATTCTTCCTAAGAATATACTGGGTATAACAACTTTCTCCCCTTCGCATTACCTCAATTTTCCCATCCCCACACCCGATACATTGGTCAAAGGATCAGGGTTACAACTTCAAGTGCTGGAGGAAGGGATGAGTCCTAAGCAAGAAACAGTTACTATACCGTTAAGTGAAATCTTTATGTCAGAATTTCTAAAGGTACAATGGAATAAATTTGTGCCTTCACCCTATTCAGTAAAGTTAGGGCTAGCAGTCAATACTATCATACTGCCTACTGGTCAGAATAGCCCACTGGTTCCATATCTATGTAATTCTATATTTTTTACACTTCAAAAGAAGCTCAGAACAAGAGACAACCTTGCATCTAAGCTCTATTATGCCAGGTGCTTGAAAGGGTGAAGATACATGTCTGCTAAGACCATTCTTGCTTTTAGAACCCATCAAGACTGAATGGGACCCTAAAAATCTGGGTGGCCTCATCCAGAGGGACATGGCCACACCATGTGATGATAAATGAATTTATTATTAATGACTGGGTGAAATTCTAGCACAGGGCAATATGTTTAGACTTCTGTATCTGTTTGATGTAAAAGATATGTGTATAAAAACCTGGGAGGGATAAAAAAACTTTGTTATCTCAATTTGATTTTGTTGCTGCCTTTGTCAAAAAGTCAACTGATAGCCGGGTGTGGTGGCACATGCCTGTAATCCCAGCACTCTGGAGGCTGAGGCAATAAGATCACCATAAGTTCAAGGCCAGCCTGGGCTATATATTAAATTCAAAGCCAACCTGAACTACATAGCAACACTCTGTCTCAATACAAACAAATGAACAGACAAACAAAAAACCCAAAAAAAGTCAGCTGATAAATTGATTGGTGGATAAGGCAAACGTGATAAATACATACAATGGAACATTAATCAGCCTTAAAAGGGAAAGGAATCCTATCACAAGATATATTATAGACAAATATTGAGGACATTAAGTAAAAATAAACTAGGCACAAAAAAAGGCAAATAGTGGATTAATTCCACTTACATAAATTATATTAGGTAGCTTTAATCATAAAAACAGAAAGTATAATGGTGGCTACAAGTAGGAGGGGGGAAAGGGGAGGTCATTATTAATAGACACAGACTTTCAGTTTTGCAAGATGAAAAAAAATCTGGAAATCTGTTTTACAACAGCGTGAATACACTTAACACCACTGAATTATATACCTGAAAACAGTTAAGAAGATAAATTTTATGCTATATGTTTTTTCCTAGAATTTAAACAAATCAATTGACCATACATGTGTGGAACTATTTCTGCACTCTATTCAATTTCAACAACTTCTTTGTCTATCCTTCTGCTGCTACTACACTGCCTTAATTACTATCACTTTATAATGAGTCCTCAAATCCAATAGTTTATATTCTCCAACTCCCCCCCACCACTCCCCCCCCCCGCCGAATATCTAAGTCCTTTACATATGCATATAAATTTTGGAATCAGCTTATCAATTTCTTAAAAAACAAAGCAAAGCAAAACAAAAGACCTACCAAGATTTTGGTTGTGGCTACACACAGTTCATGAATCAGACTTGAAAAAACTGACACTAATAATTTCAAGTCCAATAATTTCCTTTTTGTTTGTTTGTGCTTTTGTGACACGGTCTCACTATGCAGTTCAGGCTAGCCTTGAATTCACTATGTAGCTCAGGCTGGCCTTGAACTTGTGGCAATCCTCCTGTCTCAGCCTCCTGAGTACTGGGATTATAGGAGTGTGCCACCACACCTTGAACTCACAATGTAATCCAGGTTGGCCTTGAACCATGGTGATCCTCTTGCTTCAGCCTCTATTGGGATCACAGGTATGTGCCACTACGCTCAGCTAATTTTCCATTATTTGTTGCTATATACTAAAATGAAATTGATGTTGGTATACTGACCTCATATGCTCTGACTGCTGAATTCACTTATTAGTTATTGATTTTGTGAAGTTGGGGTGGCTTCTTTAGGATTTTCTACATATATAACCAAGTGATCTATGCATGTATGTATCACTTTAAACCATTTAAATTATACAGATTATATAGCCCGTCTCTACCAAGGGTACTTTAGATATGCACTTGATTTATTCAAGTTTTTAAACTTCAGCTTTCTCTGTTGTTCACTGACCAGAACAGGAAAGAGCTCTTGATCACTCAAATTCCTTAGTGTTTAAATTATCTAGAGGTGAAAAAGAGCACTGACATAACAGAATAAGCTCATCGACCTTTAGCTACTGGTAACTTCTACTAGTTCTGTAGAATAATCAAGTCTTGAGTAATTAAGGATTAGGCAACACAACTACGTATAGATTTAAAATACTGTCAGTGAGACTGAATGGGAGATGTACTGTAACCTGTTGTGACAGGCACATGAAACCAGAAATTTAACTTCTACACAATGTCAGCAGTTATTATCATTGGGGAAAATTTTCTACATTTTGATCTGTAATGTAATGTTAAACTTCAAAACCAAGGCATTTTATTACACCTTAAAAATTTCAAAAGTTTGATAATCATCTGTACTCACTCAAACATTCTATCATTATATAAAACAGCCAAAGCCTACTTTCAGGTAGAAGTAAGTGTAACTGCTACCCTGGATTAGAGGATACCAGTTGGGGCCCACTGCTGCAGCACACCTTGTTTGGTGGGAGAGGGAAAAACTCCTATCCACTTGGTACCAGAAGTACATTACTGAGTGAGAATATAGGAGAAACTGAGATTGAATTTGGTTTGGTTTTTCTCTAAGTCATTTCTGTCACTTGACTTTAGAAAATACATGTAAAATTTAATTTTAAGGCAGAAATAAATGGTGGCTACAAGCTCTTTGAGGAAGACTTCCTTGTAGCAAAAATATTTCTGCCACTATCAGAGCTTGAGTTTTTGATTTCTTAGCCACTGGTTAGTCAGGATTCCTTACTTCCACTTAAAAAAAAAAAAGAGCGAGGGTACTTTCACTTACTTATAAAAGCCAGATAGGTGAAGTGATACTTGGGTCACTTGAATAAAGATTAATCCAGGTTAAAACAATTTATTATATTTCATTCATGACAATGAATGATTTTTTTTTAATGTCTTCATCTTTAAGAGTAATTCTCTCAAAATAATCTTGGCTAGTGGGAAGATAAGTAAAGAGGGATGGGTACAGGTAAAAAGACTAGCCATGTAATGAATGTCAAAGCCTGGTGTTGGTTTATTACGTTATTCTCTACTTTGGGAACCATGCTTGGGGAAGAGTTTCAAAGCATTTTATTCACAATGTCTAATGTTCTAAGCATTACTGAAAATCTAGCATGTAACATCAAAATCTAGGTGACTCACCGGACATTTTCTGGTCTGAGCTTATCAAGAACCATCTCTATTAAGTCAGGTCTAAATTCTTCCAGTAAATATTCAGCTGTGAGTACTTCTTCTAGGGGATAATACTTTGAAAAAGGAAAACATAAATAAATAAAATTTGTAAGGTTACCATAGCGCATAGTTTAGTTTACTAAAGTAAACAGATCTCTAACATATTAAATCCATTACTTTATACCCCCTCATCCTTCTATGAAATTTTGCTCCATTTGAAAAATTTCTATAGTCCTGAATCTTCTTCCTTCTCCCCCACTGTCTCTCTCTGTCTTTCTTTCTTTTTCCATGCTGGGGATTACATCAAGGGATTTCCATATGCCAGGCAAATGCTTTATCACTGAGTTACATCTGAAGCCCTATCACATCTTCAACTACTTTAATATTGTGTGATGATTCTGCCAGAAATACTGTTAATCTACAAGTATATTTTTATTACAGAAAGCAAAATCATATTTCTTTGGAGGAAAATGTCAGTTAATGTTTCTGGTTAAAAATTAAGTACGGGAAAAACATTTTTAAATTGAGTATGGGGAGAGGGAAGAAAATAGAAACAATTTAAGATATGTTATATACATGTACCAACTCCCCACAATGAATGCAATTATTACATATGTACTTCAAACATATACTAATACAAAAGAAAAGTAAATTTAAAGTGTAAAAAAATTAAATATTTTCAATGAAAAAATTTGATAGTGAAATGCTGACACTGAATTTTTTATAGAAGACATATGCATTTTTAGTGTTTTGTTTTGTTTTTTTTGTACCAGGAATCAAATTCAGGACATTTTGTTTGCCAGGTTCTTGTGCTTGCTAAGCCCAAGACATATGCATTTTTAAAAACAGAATTTGCTCTCAAGTTTCTGTGAATGAAATCACACAACCACTAAAAAAGTTATGGGAAGAAACAGATTACATTTTTATCTAATCTGCCAAAGTAATATAGAAGATGCTTTTTCGTAAAAACAACTTTCAATGTGCCTAGACAGATTGATTAATTAATTCAAAAAAACTAAATGAACACCTACCTTGAGCCAGCCACTGTTCTAGGAACTGTGGAAACAATGGTAAATGTTTCCAAGAAGCATTTATTATAATTGAGATGGAGAGAGACAATAAAGGAGCAAATACTGTAATTTAATGATAGGTAAAATTAAATAAACAAATAAGGGGAAGGGGCAGGAGCATTATTTTAAATTGAAAAGCCACAGAAATTCTTTGTCAGGAGATATCTGAGCGGACTTTCAAATGATGAGGAAAACCTAGCCATGCAAAGATCTGACAGAAGAATGCTTCATGTAGAGAAAAGAGCAAATGGCACTGAAAGGGAAGAATATACTTAATGCTTGAAAAGTAGACAGAAAGCCAGTCTAGATAAAATGAAATGGGAGCAGTAGACTGGAGAGTGGGATGCAGAACGTGGCCACAACAGTAGGCTGGAACTGATTTATTTTGTAGGCCAAGGAAAATTTTGGATTTTATATGACTGATGGCAAACCACTGAACAATTTCAAAGAGAAGAATGGAGCAATCTGATTTTAGTTTTGAAAAGACAACTAAAGGTGGGAAAATAAAGTTCAGTGGGGGACAAGATAGAAAACAGGGATACAGGTAAGAGACCATGATTGTAGTCTGGGAAAGAAATGACGGGAGATAGCGCAGACTAGGGTGGTAACAAAAGAAATGGAGAAAAGTAACTGATTTAAGCTTAGCTTTCACAAAGGTAGCATTTGACATATTGTAGAACTGAAAAATATTTTAAGGCAATAAGCAAAACGTCTATAATGAAAATACTACAGATGATAATTTTTAGGATGAAGAAAATTAAAATTTCACGCATCTCATCCTCATAGTTTGCCCAGTTGCTCTAGTCTAAATTTTATCATTTGTGTAGTGTTGAATTTTACCATTTCTGTAGTACTGAAAGTAAAGTGTATAATATGAAATATTCTATACACTAATAATGTATAAGAACCAGCAAAACAACCACAAACTTACATGCAGCATTCCTGCAATCTTAGATGTATAGCCCCGTGGCCTCTCTTTATCTTTAAACCTAAAAGCAACTGCATTCAAGTCCTAAAATTGAAAATTAATTCAATTAGACATGAGTTAACTATTATTTAGAAATGCTTTTTTTGTTGTTGTTGTTCTGGGGATCTAACTTAGGGCCTTGCACTTCTGAGGCAGATAGCAGCACCACTGAGCTAAATCTCTGGCCCTAAAAATACATTTTTAAAGTGATTTTATTCCATATTTAACTTCATCGCACTTTCTGAAAAGTGACTATCCTTGGTTTAGAAATGTACAAAACATGGCAAGAAAATTTCTTAATATTTATAAAATTCAACCCATCAATCTGGCTTATAATCAAAGTAAAGTAGGTAAATAACTTTGAATGAAAATAAGTAACAAATACAGAATATGATTCTACTGGCTGAATTCTTGAAACTATTAGTCAACAAATTAAATTTTAAAAATGGTGTAAAAGAACCCTGTAAGATCCAACAATTCCACAGATTACAATTTGGTGATCCATAAAAAGAACTGTAGCAAAATTAAATTACCACAATCTTTGAACTATTACCTATTTAAAGAGGATGATTTTCAACCTAAAATGCATTTCAGAATCTTGATAGGCCTCATTTTTAAAAAACCCTTTAAAAGTTTTTAAATTTTGCATGACAAATACCTTTTGTTTTATGAAAGAAAAAGAGAGGCTTTCCTTTACATACAATAATAAAGTCACTTTAAGAACACAAGCCTACATAAAACCACTCACTATTTCTTTGAGAGTTTACTACAGACTTTTATGACCAGATCTGAAAATGATAGATTTCATGAAGAAGTAAAAATATCAATTTAAGAAACTGTTGGTTTTCTTCTATGGGATAGAAAATCAATCCACTTTCTTTCATTTTTCCTCCTAAAAACAGGCAACACTATGCCTTCACCCTTACTTGTGCTCCAAGTAGTAAATCAGGACAATACAACTAAGCCTTAACTAATACTATAATGCTTTGCAAAATTTTATACTTTAATTAGGGAAAAAAAGAAAACTTTTGAAAGTTTAACTGGGCCTTAAATTTAAATTATTTTACATATCTGTTTTTGAAAAAGAGATTCCTTAAGAAAAATTCTAGTGGAACAAAAAATACCTTGCACTCTTGGAAAACCCATTCTTGAGGTCCTTCTGCACGCAACTTCTGAATGTATTGAAACATGTGCAAAATTATATCTTCAACATGTACTGGAAGAAAGGGGCACACTTAAGAAGCATTCAGTCTTCAAATCTTTCAAAGCAGGGAGCTCACTTCTAAGGTACAGTCAGATTAGTGGAAGATGGTCTCTTAGAACCTACTTGGGACTGGTTTTAGGTGTCCCACACATGGCCCTCTAAGCACAAGACATGTGACTGACAGGATATTGGAGCAATAAATGAGCAAATGAAAAGCTAAGTACACATTTTATAAGCACGGCATAAAATTAAGAGGGGGAGTCATCCATAAAACAATGGCCAAATTACACATGAAAAATACAATGGATAAACTGTACAAATTAAAGTGCTTATAATCTTTAATCCCACTACTCTGAGGCAGGAAGACTGCAAATTCAAGCCCAGTTTGGGCAATGTAGTAACTGGATGAAACCCTGTCTCATAATGAAAAAGTCAAAAAAAGGACTAGGAATGTAGCTCAGTGAGTTTGAGGCCAGCCAGGGCTACATAATGAGTTCAAGGCCAGCCTGAACTACACGGCGAGACCCTGTCATTGAAGTGAAGTGAAGTGAAGTAAAATAAAATAAAACGTACTTATAACTCTTCAAATGAAATAGGTCCACAATATAAAGAAACTTTGAAAAATTATAGGAAGTCAATTTTTGTTCAAAAGCAAAATGTTCATTCAATACTTACGTAATCCTTCCTCAGTTAAGTCCACATTAATGATAAAAAACATAAAACCTCTGGCTCCTTCTTTTTGTCCACCAACCAGGGTATTTACCCAGCCTGCAACATTCAAAGAAAATCAACGTGATTGCATGTGTGGTTTCTTTCAAGACAAGGAAGTTACAAATGTATACTACTGCCGGGCATGGTGGTACACATCTGTAATCCTAGTATTAGAGAGGCTGGAGGATCACTGGGAGTTTGAAGCCAGCCTAGGTTACCTAGTTAGTTCAAGGCCAGCCTGGACTACATAGTGAGACCTGGTCTCAAAAAAAAAAAAAAAAATTCATACTATCTTTTCCAGATTAGAAAGGAATTCTTGCAGGAGGGGAAAAAAAAATCAGTTCAGAAGAATAGTTTCAGACAAAGGATTTTATAGGATGGAAGCTTTCCTAAAGATTCCTCAAATCCATTCCCTATTGAGGGGAGATTATTACGCTTAAGTGGTTTTTTTTTTTTTTTTTTTTTTTTTTTGGTACTTGCCAGGCAGATGTGGTGCCACTGAGCTACATCCCCAGCCCTTATACTTAAGTGTTATGTTAAAGCAAAGAATATGAGATGGAAGGGTCCCTCGAAATCAATAGATCTTACTCCCTTCTGTTCTGAGGTATCAGAGAAGGCAAAAAAACAAAAACAAAAACGTGTACTGACATTTCACAGAGATAGTAAAGAATAACAAATGTGGCTTTTATATTTTTACCTCCTCATTTAAAACATGGCTGGGAATAGCTGTGAGGCAGAACATTTGCCTAGCATGTACAAGGCTCTATGTTTGATCCCCAGCAACATAAAACTGAAACAAAAACAGAAAAATTCTCACAATGATTTTTTTTTTTTTTTTTTGGTTTTTTTCAGACAGGGTCTCACTACGTAGTTGAGACTGACCTGGAACTCACTATGTAGCCCAGGCTGGTCTCGAACTCATAGTGATCCTACTGCCTCAACCTTCCAGTGCTGGGATTACAGGCATGCACCACCATACCCAGCCCACAATGATGTCTTTTGTTACATCTAAATTTCACTGCTCCACACTGAAGGCAGGGGGAAGGATACTTGCCTATAATCCTAGGACTCGGGAGGCTGAGGCAAGGACTGCTGTGAGTTTGAGGCCAGCCTGAACTACAAAGTGGGAGACCCTGTTTCCAAAAACCCAAATAAACAAACAATGAAGAATAATCAAAATAATTTTTAAAGAAGTCAGTCACAGTAGTGCACACCTATAATCCCAGCTGCTCACGAAGCAAGTAGAGTCCAAGTTTAAAGCCATCCTGGGCAATTTAGTAAGATCATGTCTCAAAACAAACTTTAAAAAAGGACTGGGGCTATTATGTATCACAAACACACACGAACTTAAAAAAAGAAAAAGGATTTGGATCATAGCTCAGTGGTAGAATGCCTGCCCTGGCCTACCATTCACAAGGCCCCAGGTTTTCTCTCTGTTAACACATACATACAAAAGCAGCACACTGTAACAATCACCTCTTCAGTTCACTAACCCAAAGCAATCTCGTCTAAAAATGTACCTTTACAGGAAAATATTCAGGAGAAAATGAGAGCCACAGTCAAAGATGTGGCAGAGTACAACAGTCAGAAAATGCGGCCCCAAAAACTTACCCTTTGATTTAAGTTCTGATAACAGACTTCCAGGACCTTCATGCCCAATCAGATGACCAAGATAATGACCAGGATTTGACTTGTAATACTTCTGAAGGTCAGGTATGGGAAATGTCACATAAAGATTCCTAATATCCTTAATGGGCACTACTTTATAAAGTTGCTGGGGAAAAAAAGTAATAATGAAAGAGTTACTAAGTAGAATTCCTACTGATTAAAATTATTCACAAATTATGAGGAATATGGATTTTCATGCAAGAATCCCAAATCGAGGGGCAAATCAATTGCCAGACACAAAGAATAGCTTTATAAATGAATCAGGCTGTCTCCTAGAGGAATTTCATTATAGTGGGTAAACTGTCCATGTTTGTTTCCCTAGTCACTGAATCTATATAGTTTTGGATGCTTGTCTTCTGGTGCTAGATAACAGCTTCCAATAATCTGCCAAGGCTATAGCGACCAAAACTATTTTTAGCATGAAGATCAGAACAGGGTGATATTATTTGATGATACATGTTCCCAATAAACATAAAACTGATTTGGTTATCCTGACTGATTTAATATCCAAATATTAAAAACCACATAAGTAATGACATCTCCCCAAAGTTTCATCTATTTCATAATAAAGTGAATATGTCACATCCATAAATTAAAAGAAAAACCACAAGTACACGCACTTACTTTAAGATGTTCTTCTTGAAATGGGTGCTCAGGAAATTCTGGCAATGGGACATCTTTATTCTCTACTTCAGAAAATAACTTTACTACCAGATTAGTTAAGTCATCTAAAGATTCTACAAGAAAACAGACAGTGAAAACTTAAGTAAGAACAGGTAGTATTTAAGACTTTATTGGGGGTCAACTTGATAAGGGTTGGATTGCAGTGATTAAGTTTTGTTGTGTCAATTTGGCTGGCTTGGGAGCCACCAAGGGAACTAGTAACATGCACTTTCAGTATGTCTCAGTGGGTCATGAAGGTGTAACCTTGGTTACTATTTAGTCCCTTCCCTCTGTCTCTCTGGGGAAAAAAAAAGACTATATCTCCTCAAAAGTCTCAAGGCTTTTAGAAGAAAAACACAGAGTTTAAGAGTTTTGACAAAGAAAAATCAGTTAAATTCTGGTGTTTATATAACTTGTAAAACTGCTAAGCATTACTGATTATACTTCATCCATATTTATTTCTATATACTACCAAAATTTAAATATGTAGATATTCATGGTATTAATATTGTTTCACAAATATTATCTTATAATAAACTTAAACATTAGGAACAATAATAGAGAACTAAGTTGTATTGGGAAAAATGACTTCTTTAATGCCTAACAGGCACATACTAAAATATGAGTAGAGATTAACATTCACCTTTTAGAAACAGTATGAGCGTATTGCTAAAAGTCAAGTGTCAGGGGGCTGGGGTGAAGAGGCACGTGCATTGCCACTAATCTAAATCCCCTGCATAAAATTGTTTTGTTTGGTACCGGGGATTGAACTCAGATCCTTGTGCTTGCGAGGCAGTTGACAGAACCACTGAGCTAAATCCCCGGTCCTAGAATTATTTTATAGCCTGTAGTTTTCACTTAATAGAGCTTCGAGATATTTTAGTATCAGCACATACAGATTGCCCCTTCATTAATGGCCACATAAAATTCCAATGTGTGGATATTTCATATTATCTACATATGATGCTTAGGTCATTTCCATTTTCTATCATCATAAACAGAGCTACGATGACAATGTCTATTTGTCTATATTTGGTTGGCAAACTTTTGCAAATAAAATCCTTCAGGGATTAGCTCAGTGTTCTGCCGTCTGCCTTGCAAGCAGAAGGTCCCAAGTTCAATCCCCAGTACCAAAAAAAAGAATATTAAAACAAAACAACACCACCAAAAAAGTCAAGTGTTAGAGTTTAACTGATTGGTTTTGTAGAAAAATAACATAAAACTGTGAAAAGAACCCTAGGTGTGAGGGAGTTGGGGGAATGGGGACTTTGTATCTAATCCCAGCTTCACTAATTATGACAATTAACTACTCAAACTGCCTAATGACTCCAGGTTCTATAAAACAAGAAACTTGGGTAAGACAATCACAAGTTTCTTCTAAGACCTAACATTTTATATTTCTATGTCATAATATGTCACAATCACTCAAAATATTTTTCACTTGTTAAAAAAGTATATGGCTATTTAAGTGAAGTTCTTTTAGGTTTTAACCTTCACATACTCCTTTTTTTTTTTTTTTTTTGGTTAAAGACAGAATCTTGCTGTGTAGCTCAGGCTGGCCTCAAACTCACAGTGATCCTCCTGCCCCAGCCTTCTAAGTACTGGGATTACACGTGTATGCCAGCACACCCAGCCTTATAAAGGATTTTATTTGCAAAAGTTTGACAACCAAATATAGACAAATAGACATGGGCATTTATTGGATAAGTAATAATGATAAATGTTTGCTGAAATCATGTTTCCCCCTAACCCCCCAGGGGATGATTTTGCTATAACCACTAATACAAAAAAGCAACCCAATCCAAAAATGGGTATTTCTTAAAGCAAAATAAAAATAAATTTAACAAGGAAAAACAATATATTGTGACTAGTTAATTTTTTGTTGTTTGCTTTTTGAGACAAGGTCTCATTGTGTAGTTGAGACTGACCTGGAACCTATCATGTAGCGCAGGCTGGTCTCAAACTCACAGCAAGCCTCCTGCCTCAGCCTCCCAAGTGCTGGGATTACAGGCATGCGCCAAAACGCCCGGCTGTGACTAGTTAATTTACATTTTTGAAATCAACCCTTTATTGCTTACAACAAAGTTTTAAACTTGTTATCATCATCTTTTTTATTTTATGGTTCTTTAAACTGTTACAAGTTCAAATGTTAATATTTCTTCAAGCTTCCTTCCCTTACTTTTATATGGTTACAACACCTACTAGTAATTTTTATGTTTTCAGATCTTCACCTAAAGTCCTCTCAATGTCTTTCTGGAATAACAATGTGTCAAAAATAAAATTCTCATCTATATATTCAACAAGTAGATCATTTTTAAAACACTGAACATATAAGCAGGTATATCTTATACCCTTTTTCCAATACTTTGAAAAATTTCAAAATGGAAAAAATCCAATCCCAATTCTACAAAAATTTTAAAGAATTCTTACCTCGACCTAAAACACAAATAGCCATTAAGTTGGATGAATAATAAGTAGAATGGAATTTCAGTAGCTCTTGTCTTACATCAATGCCTTCTTGGTTGGGTCGAGTCTCTAGAGTATATTTGTTACCTGGAAAAAAGAGCATGCATTTCTTAGAAAATGCAAAATTTGTGCACTTTGTAGCATTAATTATTACTGACACCACTATAAGATGAATATAAAAAACATTTCAAGCAAACATACACAATGGTCAAACGTGTTTCAACATAAGATACATAAACAGGATCATACAGTACAAATTAATACCTAATCTTTACACACACACACACACACACACGGTCTTGTTATGTCATTCAGGCTGCCCTTAAACTCATTATGTAGTCCAGGCTGGCCACAGACTCATGGCAATCCTCCTGCATCAGCCAGCTTTATTACTGTAATATCTTACAATGCATTTTCCCTAAGAAACTAAAAGTGCTTTATAAGAATTACAGTCCTTAAGATCCCTATAAGTATTATGAGCAGTTTTAAGATAAAATGGGATCCCCATGGCCTCTATTCACGCTTATCTTTAATTTCAATTTCCTGTGTGCCCTGTAATTAATAGAATACAGTTACTGAGGGATCTTTTTAGAACCTTCCAAATTACTTGTAGAAAGAATAAACTTACTATTTTGACCCAAGAATTACTTTTGTGATGTGAATTTTCATGAATGTGTTCTAGACTGGAAATATATGTGCTACCGAAATGAGCACTGATCTAGTCTGGTAAAAATAGGATGCAATGCTATTTTTATAGATCTCAAATGATATAGCACAGCTGGATACAAAATCAACCCTCAAAAATCAATAGCATTCCTATACACAAAAAACAAACTCACTGAGAGGAGAAATTAGGGAAACACCTTTCACAATAGCATTAAAAAAAAAAAAAAAGAAATACTTAGGAATCAATCTAACAAAGGAAGTTGAAGACCTTTAGATGGAAAGCTACAGTACTCTGAAAAAAAAAGATATCAGAAAATGGAAAGATATTCTGTTCTTGGGCAGGAAGAACCAATATAGTATAAATGGCCATACTTCCAAAATGATTAGATTTAATGCAATCCTGATCAAAATTCCAATAGCATACGTCACAGGACAAGACAAAACAACCCTAAAATTCATTTGGTACCAGAAGAGACAAAAACATAGCAAAAGTACTTTTGGGCAACATTAAGGCAAGGCCGGGGAGCATCACAATCCCTGACTTGAAATTATACTATGAAGCTACCGTGATTGAAAAAAAAAAAAAAAAAAACCTGCACAGTACTGGCAAAAAAAAAAAACTGATCAGAGAATCTATGGAACAGATTTAAAAGATGCAGAAATAATTCCAAACATATTCAGTAACTTTATCTTTGACAAACACCTTCACTGGAAGAAAGATAGCCTCTTTAATAAATGCTGCTGAAAAAACTGGCTTTCCACATGTTGAAGATTAAGTGTAGACCCATATTTCTCACCATGCACTACACTAAAATCAAAATGGATCAAAGATCTAAATATTAAAACAGATACACTTAATCTGCTGGAAGATAGAACAGGTAGAACTCTTGAAGACATAGGTGTAGCAAAGACTTTCTGAAAAAAACTTCGATCACACAGGAAATATTAAAAAGAATCAACAACTGGGATCTCATTTTACTAAAAAGCTTTTGCATGGCAGATGAAACCACCAGAGTGGGAAAAATGTTTTAGCCAGTTGTTCCTCAGACAAAAGACCATCTAGAATATATAAAGAACTAAAAAAAAAAAAACAGACCCCCCCAAATTTAAAGACTGAATACAAAAATGGGTGTCTGAAATGAATAGACATTTCTCAGATGAAGAAGTACAAATGGCTAATAAATATATCAAAAAAATATTCAACATCACTCACTGGTCATTCATGACATAAAAATTAAAAGAACACTGAGATCTCGTCTTACTGCAGAAAGAAAATCTATTATCAAGAAATCACCCAATAACAAATGCTGGGTGGGGCTGTGGGGAAAAGGATCTGGACCCCTTCTCCACTGTTGGTGGGAATGTGTACTGGTGCAGTAACTGTGAAAATCAGTGCTGAGATTCCTCAAAAAAACTAAAACTAGGGGCCAGGGATTCAGCTCAGTAGTGAAGCTGCCTGCCTTGCAAATGCAAGGTTCAATCCCTGGTACCAAAAAAAAAAAGCTAAAAGTAGAGGTTCCATTTAATCAGCTATTCCCTTTCTTTGTACCTGAAAAAATTAAAAACATCATACCACAGTGATATAATGCACAACCATGTTTATAGAGGTACAATTTGTATTACCTAAATCTTTGAAACAGCCCAAATGCCCATCAATGGATAAAGATGTGATTTTTAAAAATACAATGGACTACTTTTACCATAAAAAAGGATATAAGCTTGAGACATTTCTAGGTAAATGGATGCACCTCAAGACCATACTCTTAAAATAAATAAATTAAATATTACATTGTTTCTCTGGTGTGAGAAACCAGAAAGGTAAGTAAGGATCAAAATGGATAATGGGAAATAAGAAAATGTTTGAAGGGAATGAAAAACAGGGGAGGAATGAGAGAGAAAGGAAGGAAAGGAAAAAAAAAAGAATATAGACAGAAAAAACAGAACCAAGCTTTTGTAAAGAAGGTGGGTAAAGGGGTGGGGGGAGGAAGAATCAGAGAATATTTACATACAGACAGAAATTTCCCATGATAAATGTGATCATTATGTATACCTAAAGTGTACCAATAAAATTAATTTTTTTAAAAAATTTAAAATGGGGCTAGGGATTTAGCTGAGTGGTTCCACTGCTTGCCTTACAAGGACAAAGTCCTGAGCTTGATCCCCAGTACCAAAAACAATAAAACTAAAATGGGTCTAGCAAAATAAATTACTTACAAAAACATTTTTAAATAATAAAGCTTTTTAATATATGTGTGTATTTTTTTCATACAAAATTTAAAAGGGCAATTCTCCCTGGGTGAGCATATGCATGGATAAGTACACGATGCACATTATGACAGGGTACTTTAGTAAAAACCTCTTAAGTCCCATCACAAAGCACCTCTCTACCTTATTAATCCAGCTCCTGTTTTCAATAAATATACAAATTTCCTTAGACACATATCCACTCCCCACAGAAGACCGCAACAAAATCTATGGAAATCCTAAAGAATAATAAATGATTGAGTTGAAATATCAAATATTTTATATCCATGAACTTCCTGTTACACTCAAAAACAAGTTATTACTACTGAAAGATGCTAGGAAACCAACTCATTAGTTTGAAAACTGGTGAATGAATGGAATGAATTAAGTATTTGTCCCGTCTCTTACATAGTAACTGTACCAGTGACAAACCAAGCACAGTAGTAGAAAAGATTTTCTTTCCATAGCACTATTCAAGTTAATCAATAGAGAAGAAAGGAGAATTAAAGAATCAGAATTCGAGGTGATGTACCGAGAATCACTGTTTGCAACATTATAGAGACAGCAAACGTTGCATTCCAAATGGAAAAACAGCACCATCTATAAAGTTATCTTATCAAGAAGAAAAAGAACTCAAACATGAATCTGATCAAGCCTTTATATCCAACTGCCAATCTGTGAAAATACAGAAGGCACAGTTGGCCCAAAATGAATGAAGACCTAAATGTAAGGCCTGAACCCATAAAATTCCTAGTAAAGGACAGAGGAAAAGCTGCTCAACATTAGCCTTAGCAATGATATTTTGGACATTACACCAAAAGCTGAAGCTACAAACGCAAAATAAAGGAACAGGATTAAATCAAACTAAAAAAGTTGTGCACAGCAGAGGAAGCAATCAATAAAAATGAAAAAAAAAAAAACCTGAAACCACAGATCTAGGGGTTAATATCCAAAATTTATACAGAATTGTCAAAACTCAATGGCTGAAAAACAAATAACTGCTGGGAATGTAGCTCAACAGTGCTGCATCTGCCTGGCAAGTGCAAGGCCCTGAGTTTGATTTGCAATACCAAAAAAGGAAAACAAACAAGTGAACTAAAAAAAGGGTAAAGTTCCAACAGACACTTTTCCAAAGAAGACATAAAAATGGCTAACAGGTATATGAAAAGGTACTAACATCATCAATCACAAGGGAAAAACTATTAAAATAACCATGAGGTACCATCTTACACTTTTCAGAATGCCTATTATCAAGACGATGAGCCCGGGATTTAGCTCAGTGGTTCCGCCGCCTGCTTTGCAAGCGCAAGGACCTGAGTTCGATATCTGGTACCAAAAAAAAAAAAAAAAAA